ACATCCTTATAAACAGCAGGGGGCACTTATTATTTAACTGAAGTACGTTAACAAAGCCTAGTCAGTTTTTACGACTTTTTCAGTTAGTTAAGCAAAAGTCTTAAATGAATATCATTCTAGTCCGTAGTCATATATGCTATATGTATGTCGCAGCAAAATTTTCGCAAGTGGCGAATTTCATGCGTCACATATTTATGTAGTGTGATGACATAAGATATCTTATAGTAGAGAGAGACCAAATCATAACTTACCGTAGTTATTGCTGAGGTAGTCTGTAGTGCAGTATCAACATCGCCGTCGTCCTAAAGTTATTCTTATGCATTATCATACTTTCTCTAATAAAAGATTAAAGATTCTGGATGCTTGAACCTCTTCCATGAAATATGCACGGTGAAAGGAACAAGACTACGGTTTTGAAAAATTGTCTAAAATAGTAATTCCACGGCCCTGTGTCAATTGACCTTTCTGTGTAGTAAATCTACAATGCCATTTTTTGCGAACTGATTTCAAGCGCGAATTATATAATCAACATTTCGCAACGTTTAAAGGTGATGAGTTTGAAACCCACGATTTTTTCTATGGTGCGTGTTTCAATTACTCTCGTCTCCTGAAAATCCAGAAAAATGTAGCAAACTTTAGCTACAAATCTATTTAAATTGGTTCATGGAAGAGACTAACCTTGACAACCGTGGTCTTTGAGCGTGATCGCGAGCGTGATGCTGTCGCAGTGGACGTCTCGACTGCAGTTTCGACATCAGCTCGTCTCGCAGTACGTACACCTTCCTTCGCAGTATGAATATCCTCTTTTGCCGTATGCATATCTCCCTTTGCAGTATGCATATCTTCCTCTGCCGTTCGCATACCTTCACTCGCAGTACGTATATCTTCTTTCGCAGTGCGTATCTTCTCTGGCTCCACATGTGGAGGTTCCTTAACGCATTCATTTCCGAAACTCTGTGAAGGATGACATATGTTTTGCGATGGTCCTACATTTACAATCAAGTATCATTATTCGAATTTAGGAGTACTTATTTAATGGATTTAGAAGCAAATTTCAAACTTTTTCATTCGCGTAAGAGAATTTTTGCACCAAAGACCAATAACATTTGATCATAACTTTATAGTAAAAGCCGAATACGATGTTGGGAAGAGATGCTTTGCGTCTCACAATATGTTTAGAGAGCAGAGGATTTTTAGAAATGGTGTTTATTGTTAATCCTGTCAGAATGAGCATATTACATTGGAGTAGCTTGCCCATGCTTTAAATAACTTACCGTAATTATCTTATGGGTCTCGTGCGTTTCCACTGTTTTCCTCTCCTGAAAC